TTTGTGCTAGATCTACTTTATGGTGTTATTTGTGCATTTTTTAGTATTTTGAGTTAAAATTGAGCTTTTGATCTACTCTAGAAGCAATGGATGCTAGATCTTAACTCCATTAAGGCCTTATTTTCATAAAATTGAAAACTTTATGGAGGATGTTGGTCCATGCATGTATTAAGATCTTTATTAAGCTTCTTTTTTAGTATTGTGTCCCATTAAGCCATGCATGAGTGTAAAGTTGCCAACTTTACGTGATAAGTTACCCTTAGGGACCAGACCTGAGAGTATAGCAAAAGGTCTTAAATGATTAAGTTCCTAATGAAGAGAACTAGTAATTAGGGGAGTACACCCCGCGTACTCAATAGTTGGGCGTTTGGGCTTGGCCTTCTCGGCTTGGGCTTTCTAAGTTTGGGCCTTGTTGGGCCATTAGACTTCTGATTTGGACTTTTGACTAGTATTTTAAGCTTCCTTAGATTTAGACCCATGATGGGTTTTTGGCCCAATTTGGAAGATTAGGCCATAATTAGGACTTCAATTGTCATTTAGAATTTGGGCCTTTTGAGTAGTTGGGTTGGGCCTTGGTTTTGGGCCAAGTAAGAAAAAGGGTAAAGTGGTCTTTTACCCTGGTTATGGGCTAAGTAGCTTAGATTCTTAGCTTGGTTGAGATCCAATTAATGATTGGATATTATTTTGATGATGATAGCGTGGGATTTTCCAGTCCAGCAGGCAGAGATTCTTTTGCGTATTTCAACAGCTAGAGGTGAGTTTCCTCATTGTGTTTTAGCGGTTCAAATGCACCAATATCGGCCCATGGTTTTTTATGTTAGGATGCTAGATGTCTACGTAACTCTTGCATGTGTTATATGGTTGTATGCTTACCGGGCGGGGCCCGATGACCATTCTGTATGCTATTTATCTTTATGATTATTGCATGTTCTATGTGTTTATCTATTATATGTTTATATGTATACCGGGCAGGGCTTGATGACTGACACATCTGTATACGTAGCGGGGCTCGATGCCGGGCGGGACTCATAATATATTTATTATGTATTGTATGTGGTATTTTGGGGAATTCACTAAGCTTTTTACTTACAATTTTCAATTTATGTTTTCAGGTAATTTTGGTGTGAAGGGGGAAGATCCTGGAATAATTCTAGTACACACATCACCTCGTTTCACATTTTATAATTACTTTGATGTTTTATGATGTAGTTGATATACTTTGTTCCACCATAGTTTTATGATGATGTTTTGGATAATAGTTTTATTTATTTAAAAATGAAAATGTTTGGTCTTAATTTTAGGACATTACAATTTTATAGCGCATTTTCATCATAGAGTATATTTCAGTTTGAAATTAGCTTTACTTATTATGCTTATATAAAAATACTACCAAATACGAAAGATTGTCATCTTGATAGGTCAATGAATTACATTGTCTTTTGAAGGTTTGACCGATTTGACTCTAATTTTGCAAATAAAGAAGTCATTCCATGTTTTTTTGTCATAGTCCTATATCATTTTTCATAGAAGAGTAATTAGATTTTTTGAGGTGCTCCAGTATCCCACACTAGGGAGTGTTTCAGTGTGTGTTTGAACTGATGATTGTGACCTAAGCCATTTTCTGATAATTTTGGCCCCAAAAATTGTATAATTGGATAATATAGTATAAATTGGCTATAAGAGAAGTGATTATTGATTTCATATTATTAGCATATGTGGGTTCTAAATGTATCTTCTCTTTTTATTTCCACAAAATTCAAATGAACAATACAGAAAATGGACCCACATTCAACGTGGACATTATCAAGTCTAACCTTGAATTAAATGATTTTGATGTTGTTAAGCCTGACATTGACATTCCACAAAAGGTGTGCAAAAAGTGATAAACTTTCATATCATCTTAAAATTACACAATTATCCTTCTTTCTTATTCTTCTTATCATCATTTTTCTCTTTCGTACCTGTAGCGAGACCTTTCGATTCAAGTTACAGATGAAAATCATGATCTTGCACAAACACTGAAGTCAAAGGCTATTGATGCAATATCTAAAAGCATGTTCTTTATTGTCAACTCTAAATTTAAAGAGTATGATGTTTATTTTGTTGTCATTACATATAGGTAAAATTAAGGAAGCCATAGATTACCTAACTGAAGCTATTACGTTGAATCCAAGTTCAACCATATTATATGAAACTAGATGTACTTCTTATTTTTTAGTCATTAAGTTGATTAAGGTTAGGGTTATTTACATAATTTTATATTTCTACTATTGTGACTTGAATAATAAGTCTTATGTTTCATTTGGTTATATGTACTTGCAGCTACTATATTTGTCAAACTAGACAAAGCAAATGATGTGGCTTTACGGGTGTGCTTATATATTTTTTGATTATATTAATTACAATATAATAAACTAACATTTGACGTTTATAGATATTTAGATCGATTATGACTCAATAAAAGGCTATAAAATTCAAGGAATAGCTAGGGCTATGCTTGGTCAACATGGTTGTCTAATGGCATTGGTTAATAATAGATTTACTACGTTTCAAAAATGACTAAATAAAATGCCTTGATAACAAAAATGACTAAAATGATAAAATAACTTCAGTTATTTTTAGATATATCTTGGAATTTTCAATTACAATTTCCCATTTTCAACAAAATTACAATGTCAAAGTAGAAGGTGAAAGCAGGAGTTAAAATTATAAATGGCTTTCGGAGCTTTTTGAAGTACGAATACTAGAAAGGGTAAAACAATAATTTTCTTAAAATAACATTCATTATGAGTTGTAATTACATGTTGTTCTGATAGTGTTTGGATGAGTTCTTAGCAAATTTCGATTATTTTAAGTAACTAATAGATTTAAAAATGGCATGTAGGTAATTTTACTCTACTTTGATAATATGTTACATTTCAGATAGCATGAACATGATAATTCTAAATTTATAATTTGATCACTGAATTATCATATAATAGTAAGTAAATATTAGTTGACAAAGACAAGAAAAGGTAAATTACGTGATTTTTTTTCTTAATCCCTAGCATTCTGTGAATAGAAACAACTATTGTTAAAGGAATCTTGAGATCATAAAGTCGTATGGTTTTGTTAGGTACATATCCATTTATGCTTTCTTATACATAATTTATTGAAAAGATGTTTGTTTACAGTATTTTGGTTTCATTACCCTGCAGGTTGGAGATGATGTTGTAGACCAAGCGGAAAAGGAAATGCTAGAGGTTATCTTGCACTTCATGGCGGGTGAATGACTTAATGTAAGAGGCTTGTTCTTAATTTCCACCTACATTAAGTGCATTTCCATTATGGGTTCAATGTAAAGTACATCAAATCTAGGTAATGGTGTTCAAAATGAAATGAATTTTGGTCTTAATTTCAATGAAACTTTCTATTAATTGCGTTTCTATTATGGTTTCAATGTAAAGTACATCAACAGAATTTAATTTCTTCTAACAAAACCGTGATAAAATTATGGGTGCAATGTTTTAGAGAGAAAGATATAGATGTGTTGTGGTGTTGGAGATAATTTTATTCGAAATGAAATCAAATGAATCAAGGTATAATGCAATTTGAAATTTAATCCTCAATAATAAGGAACGGGAAGTACTAATGTCATCATATATTTAAGTTTTATTATAGGTGATAGTAAAATGATTTGGTGTTTGTATTCTTCTCAATATATTGGATCTTTTGAAAGGAAATGCATGGAAGGTCATTTTTTTTCAAAAGAATATGTAGATTTGAGCAGCTGCCTATCACATTTCACATGTGAGCATAACTGAGATTTCAAGATGTTGTTTTAACTTTACTTTTGTATGAAAATTAAAATTGGTTTCATTATTTTGTGAGGTTTCAAAGTGTTTAGATTACTTATTTTAATGAAAATATGTCTTTGAAAACTTTTCAATGATAATATGTTTCACCACAAAGCAGTAGCATTTAATTTGACTTACCTGGTGTAGGAACTGCATCTACCAGATTCTTTACAATAGGATACTACAACCTCTTGACAAAATCCAATTAAAAAAGAAACCTCCTTACCCTTCACTTCCTTAGTTTTAATGAATTTTGGAGAGTAATCAACTTATATATATATATATATATATATATATATATATATATATATATATATATATATATATATATATATATATATATAATGCAACCTTGGCTCCGGCCACCTACTCTAAGGATGAGATACTATGTTGAAGGGAATCTGCGATGTCACAACAAACAAGGCCGTCAGCCTTTCTCCAGGAGGAGGTCCCAAGAAAACGCTCAGATGGTCAAGTTACCGAGGGATATCTGAGAGAGGGTGGTGTGAGACGGGAGAGATAACATTCCTCTCAAAGCAGGGTAGAGGTCCTTTTATACTGAGGATCCTCGGTGGTCCATATGAGAGACAGGGACTGCAGTTCCAATAAGGTATGTTGTCCTGATTGGTTAAACGTGTACCTCGTTGTGTAGGGTACAACTATTGGTTCAGGCAATAAAACTCTGAGCATATTCGTTGTAGCCTGAAGCCGTTATGCTTGTTGTGTATCGGAAGGTGTCCTTGGTGCGGCCAGACCATTCGTGTGGACGTCCCACCTTGAAGGAACGCCCTGGAGGCGGAGGCCTAATTGGGCGGCCACGATGGGCCTAGCTAAGCCAGCTGAAGGGTCCTCCAACCCGGGGCTCTACTCCTGACCCATGCTTGGGGAGAATTATCATGTCCCCTAGTCCAGTAGTCATATCGTTGGTAGCTAGCAATGATGTTCTGGACTTTACTGCCACTACACACGTTGGGGCCACATTCGCTTGGTGCTTCGATTTTGACGATGTGACTGCTCATCCTCTCTGGTGGTTATGTTACCTGTGTCAAAGTTTTGAAATGTATTGGCTCTTATTTCTTTCCTTATAGCCCAAAAAATCCTTCTGCCTTTTCTAATTTCTTTCTGCATTTCATCTTCTTTCTCTCTTTCTGGTGGTTTTCTGCTATGGCGACTTCGATGGGTCTTATTCCAAATCCTTTTGAGTTCGAGACCTTGCAAGAAATGTACGGTCTATCTCCGACTGATGGGGTGGAGTTCTCGGGTTCTGGTGTCATGATCGCTTCACCTCCTTCCGGAAAGATTTGCATTTATCTAAATAAGATTGACGTTGGTCTCCGCCTCCTTCTGATTGAATTTTAGGAGGAGCTCCTTCATCGCAATGGGTGTAGCATCCTTATGTTTACCCCTAATGTGGTTCACAAGATGGTGGCTTTCGAGATGATTTGCCAAGACAATGTTGTCATCCCATACTTCTTCGTCTTTAAGTACTTTTTTTTTGTTTGGGTCCACCAGCCACAAATATACATTCTCCGCTCGCTATGGAGGTCACAACCTTGATCCTGACAGCAAGACTCCGAAGAATTAGCTGTGGAGGTGGTTATGGGTTAAACAGGAGCTACTCAGTCAGAAGCACCACCGACGCGATTATCTTCTCAGACATTATCTCCCAAAACTGTTTCCCCACAATCAAGACAATGCCAACTTCTTGAAGACTCTTCAGGTGGATGCCGATGAATATTCAGAGGTCTTGCTTGCTAGAGTTAGGATGAGTCCAAGTTGGCGTGGCCATGGTAAAATTGCTATTTCCTTACTCCTTGGTCCCCTTTTTTTCTTTTACAACAAGCATGTGACTAGATATCATGATTACATGTATTGATGGTCTGTTTCCATGGATGTTGTCCTCCGGAAACGGTACCATGGGAAGTTAGAGCATTGTGTGGTGGATCTGCATGAGACCCTTCCCCCGCCATGTCATCTCTATCAGTCGCTAACTTCGATGGAGAGGCCGCTGGGAAGTTCTTCTACAATGGAGAATGGTCCAACTCCGAATGTTCCTTTGTATACTACTCTAGTCTCTCGACCTTATGAAGATCCCTCAAATGAGATGGTGGAAGATAGCAAAGAGGGGATCGTTTCGAGTATCCGTTGTTCCATGACGAAGAAGAAAGTTGTCCAGGCTATGGGTGCGCCTTCTTTGGGGAGTGAGTCTAGTAATATCAGGAGACATATAATGAAAAGAAATGGATTTGCACGCTTGATTCCCTTGATATCTTCAAATCCTGGTGGTATAGTGGAGATGCCTGATGATGACGCACATCAATATGATGGTTATCACGTGGCGTCGAATCAGCCCATTGTACCGATGATGCGACCTGGGAATCGGGTGTTGATCTTCGCTGCTTGTATCCATTCCAGTTAACTTGCAAGGTCACAACATGGCAGGGCCGTCAGCTGTTCTCCGGGAGGGGATACCAGGAAAACGCTCCGATGGTCAAGTCAGTGGACAAACTTAGGTGGTTATCTGATTGAACTGGGCATCATACCTGATAGAAACGGGCGCGCTGATTGGGAAATCGTTCTCCTTGATCTATCAGAGATAATGATTGGTTCAGGTGGTAATGCGCTGAGCATCCTCCTTGTTCCCTGGAGCCGTTATGCTTTTTTGCGGAGCTGAAGGTGTCCCTAGCGAGGCCGAGCGTCTTAGGGGCATCTTAGGGCGCGAAGTTCCATCGGTCTTGTTTTGTTAAGTGTGATATACCTTGGGGAGTTCTCTGGCGTGTCCATGAGCGACTCTTGGCCCATGCTTACGGCACGTCATCAAGTCCCTTAGTCCATTAGTTGTAGCGTTTCTAGAATAGCTATGATGTTATGGACTTAACTGCTTAGTACATGCTTTGAGTTCTGATTTAATCATTGTTTCAATTTTTCTGGTGACGTGACTGCACAATATGATAGTTGGCTATTTTGAGCCCAAGAAATATGCTAAGTATTTTGATAAAATGGCTATGCTGAGTCTCATAAATACACTAAGTATTTTGACAAAAATGACTATTCTGAGCCCTACAAATACACTAAGTATTTTAATAAAATGTCAATTCTGAGGCCCACAAATACATTAAGTATTTAACAAGCAAGTAATACACCAAGTACCTTGCATTTTTTAACAAAGCACGCTAAGCCTTAGGTATTAGTTGTCACTCCGGGTGACAGATTTCTTCCTAGAAGTGAAACTTCCTTACATTCCTGGCATTCCAAGTTCTAGGAATTTTCCTCCCTCCCGTCGTCTCGAGGGTATAGGGCTAGTTACAGTGGGATTTAATAACCTTGTATGGTCTTTCCCATGTAGGGCCTAGTTTTCCTTGTGGTTGGGCGTGGCTCACCTAATTTTTTCTTAGGACGTAATCTCCTGTCTTGAAAGCTTTCTATTTGACTCTCTGGTTCTAGTATCTTTCCCTGACACTTTTGTAAGCTGCTTGGGGAATGTTTGACTGCTCACGCCTTTCCTCGATGAGGTCCATGCTTAACCTCAAGTCTTTATCTTTGTTAATTTTTTCAAAGTAAGTCGTGCATGGTGAGCCTATTGCTAGCTCCACTGACAACATTGCTTATGTACCGTAAGTTAGACTGAAAGGTGTTTCCTTTTTTCTTGTTCTTATCGTGGTCCTATATGACCAAAGCACTCTCGGTAGTTCTTCGACCCCGTTACCTTTGGCCTTCCCTAGGAGTTTCTTGATTCCATTTACAAACGTTATGTTGGACACTTCAATTTGACATGTATGCCTAGTATGTGCCACTGATGTGAACTGGTGCTCGATCCCTTTTTCAACGCACCAGCTCTGAAATGGGTTTTCTGCGAATTGAAACCCATTATCACTGACCATCACCTTGGGCGTTCCAAATCTTTCCGTGATGTTTTTCGATAGAAATTTGATCATTTTCCTTTTAAATATGATCTCTAGTGGTTCATCCTCTATCCACATGGTGAAGTAGTCAACTGTAACTACTAAGAATTTCACCTTTCATTCGCATCATTTTCATGCATCTTGATGTATGCTTGGCCAGTAAATGCCCATATGGAGTATCTTGCCCATGAGATCCCTCACCCCTTCATGCGTGCCTGCTGGGCCAACATTTATCTCTGGAAGTGGTTCCTTACCCTTGGCTTCATCTATGCACTTCAACTATAGCATCATGAACCCTTTCTGATATAGCACTCCCTCTACAATTGTGTATAGTGGTGTTTTGATTCTTACTTTTCTGGTCTCTTCATGGCTATCGGGTAGGACTCCAAGCTGCAAGTACTCAACGATTGGTGTCATGTAGGTGCGCCCTGCTGGTGTCAGGGAGTGCACTTGTCGTTCATCTGTTCTTCTCTCTTTAAGTACCTCCACCAAAACCTTCTTAGATAGGTGGCTAAAGCATGTTGACTCTAATTTGCTAAGGGGTCTACTCTCCTATTTTCCCCTATTCGAATATGCTTGATGGTGAACTTCTTAAAGGGTTTGACAAGTCTCTAGACGAATTTCACATACTTCTCCATTTGTTTGTCTCTTGCTTCAAAGTCTCCATTTATCTGATTAATGGCTAACCTTCAATCTGTTAGGGCTATCACTGTGTCCACACCGATTTTTCTTGCCAGTCGCAAGCTAACTATCAAGGCTTCATACTCAGCCTTATTGTTAGAGGTGTGGAAATTGAAGGGAAGGGCATAGGTGATCTCTTCCCCCTTGGTCTCATTAGGATCAGGACTGACCCGAATCACTCTTTGCTAGACGCCCTGTCAGTGTGGAGGGTCCACTCCTAGCTTCCCTTTTGCTGGCGTGCCCTCGATAATTCCTTTTCCCCGACTGCTATTATCACTTCCCTCGGGATCCCAAGGAGAAAATCTGGTAATTCATTCCCTTTAATACTACTGCATGGATGGTACTTGATGTCGTGTTCCCCTAGTTCTATTGCCCATTTTTCCAATCATCCGGACGTTTTCGGCTTGAGTATTATTTGTTTGATTGGGCAGTTTATAAGTACCTCTATATGGTGTGCTTGGAAGTATCTTCTCAAGCGTCGTGCTGCATAGATGAGTGTGAGCACTAGTCTTTCCAGGATGGGGTAGTTGGTCTCTGGTCCTTGTAGGGATCGGCTGACAAAATAGACCGTCGATTGCTTTCCTTCTCTTTCCACTACTAGAAACGAGGAGATGGCTTCGCTCGATGCTGATGGATATAGTTGCAGTGTTTCACTCGGGATGGGTTTGGCCAGTGTGGTAACTTATGTAGGGTCTCCTTTGTCTGCCAAAGTGGGGTTTCTGCAGCTAATTTACATTGGAAATTTCTTTTTTCTATGCATCCTTTGAGAGTGTGGAAGAGTGGCATCACTTTTTCTGCTGACTTGGAAATGAAATGGCTCAGGGTGGTTAGTTTACCATTCAATCCTTGACCGTATATCAAGGTGTGTGGGGATGGTTTGTCCATCAATTCGTCAACTTTGGTCAGACTAGGCTGGATTCCTTCCTTGGTGATATAGTATCCCATGAATTGCCCTTCTTCGACGCCAAAGGTGCATTTCCCTGGGTTCAACTTCATCTTGACATTCTCCAGTATTCTGAGTCTTTCTACCACATCTTCCAGTAATCTTCTTTCTTCTGGGCTTTTTATCACCATGTCGTCGATATATACCTATATAGATCTTTCGATTTGTTTGGTGAAGATGGAGTCAACGAGATGTTGGTAGGTTGCTCCTGCATTGTTTAGGCCAAATGGAACTTTGGTGTAGCAAAATGCACCGTGGTTTGTATAAAAGGCGGTCTTTTCTCCGTCCTCCTTGCTCATTAAGATATGGTGGTACTCTTTGTCTGCATCTAGAAAACACTTCAATTTGACTCATTGTAAGGATTGTACCATTGGATTGATTTCTGGTAGAGGTAACAATCCTTAGGGAAGACTTTGTTTAAATCAAAATAGTCCATGCACATACACTATGCGCCATCTTGTTTTCTAACCATGATAGGATTCACGATCCAGGCCAGGAAGATTGCCTATCGGAGTATTCCTGCTTTGGTCAGCTTGGAAACCTCAACATTGACGTCCCTGTTCCTGTCTCCCATGGACTCACTTCTTCTGCTTAACCTCCTTTTCTCCTAGCTTAATCATGAGTTTATGTTCTATGACTTCTCTTTTTAACCCTTCCATATCAGTGCAATTCCAGGCGAAGACATGCTTGTACTTCTTTAAGAGGTCGACCAATGCTCGCCTTGTCACTCGGGGGAAGGTTGTCCCTTATGTTGACCGACTGATCCGGGTATTCTTTGATGATGATCTCATTTCCAATTCTTGGCTCCACCCGTGACCTTTTGTTTTCTTTCTCAACTTCAATATATCATAGCATAGCAATTCCTTTATTGGCATTCCCATGATTGTCCTCGACCCTTCTATTGTGCTAAATTTTACTATTCTGTGCATTGTTGATGAGATTGCTCCAACTTTGAGTACGACCGTCCCCCCAGATTACAACGAAATCTATGAGGGCTATCTTCTTCTTTGGTTTGTCATAGCTGGCTAGTGTAAAGGGCAGGTGGATTATGATGAGTTTTATACAAACAATCCTATGTGTGCATGCTACCCTAATTTGGATCTATGTTTTCTCTGTTAGACATAAAACAAATAAACACAAAAGAAAACCTAGCATACATCTTCTACTTTTGAAAATTACAAAT